AGGGAGCATCCGGGACACACTGCCCCAAGGACGCACACACTGCCCCAAGGACGCACACACTCCCCCAAGGACGCACACACTGCCCCAAGGACGCACACACTGCCCCAAGGACGCACACACTCCCCCAAGGATGCACACACTGCCCCGAGGACGCACACACTGCCCCAAGGATGCGCACACTCCCCCGAGGACGCACACACTGCCCCAAGGACGCGCACACTCCCCCGAGGACGCACACACTGCCCCAAGGATGCGCACACTCCCCCAAGGACGCACACACTCCCCCAAGGACACACACACTGCCCCGAGGACGCACACACTGCCCCGAGGACGCACACACTCCCCCAAGGACACACACACTGCCCCAAGGACGCGCACACTCCCCCAAGGACGCGCACACTGCCCCGAGGACGCACACACTGCCCCAAGGACGCGCACACTCCCCCAAGGACGCGCACACTGCCCTGAGGACGCACACACTGCCCCGAGGACGCACACACTCCCCCGAGGACGCACACACTGCCCCGAGGACGCACACACTGCCCCGAGGATGCGCACACTCCCCCAAGGACGCACACACTGCCCCAAGGATGCGCACACTCCCCCAAGGACGCACACACTCCCCCAAGGACGCACACACTGCCCCGAGGACGCACACACTGCCCCAAGGACGCACACACTCCCAGGTCCCCGTCTCTAGAATCTCCTTGGGTGGCTTCCACCTCCCTTCAGGGACTATATTCAGCATTGGGATGTCTTTTTGGCAGTTGAGGGAAAGCGGCGTCTGTCCGCACTTTCCTGGGGGTCAGTTTCCAAACCTGCCGCATCCATATTTTCTCAGCGACAACAGTCTGGTTTTACCCTTGGGGACGTGGCAGTCACAGAGCAGATGTGCTCCTGGTTTGTCTTCTGTGTGGTGTAAGTGAAGCGTGAAACCCTCCACCTGTCCTCTGATGGCACCGACGTCAGAGCTGAGGTCAGGACGGGGTGGGGGGGGCTCTGCAGAGTGGACGACGCTGCCCGTTTTAATGACGGAGTCGGTGTCCAGCACGTTAGTGGGATGAGCCGGATCGGCTGAACTGAGTTCGTTCAGAGGTTTTCGGGTAATCGGAGCAGACACGGGCCAACCCGCACTCAAACGGCAGAACCATCCAGAGACACGCGGCATCCCTGGGCTCTGGGTGGGAGTTGGGTCTGCTGTGTGGACGAGGACTCTGAGCTCTGTTCCGTCTCTACGAACAGTGAGGCCCACGGTGGAAGACCCCAGAGGACCCCCCCGGCCCTGTCTTCTTTCAGTCTAGGATGAGGGGACTGGACATCTTAAAGAGACAAGCTGCGTTAGCCTCCCAGGGCTGCTGCAGCGAAGTGCCACGGCCTGGGCGGCTCTGTCAACGGAAACGTGCTGTTCCCCAGTTCTGAGATCCAGGCGTCCGGGGGCCGGCTCCTTCGCAGGCTGGGGAGGATCTGTCCCAGCCCCTCTCCAGCTCCTGGGGCTTCTCTGGCAGCCGTGGACATTCTGTGGCTGTAGAAGCATTGCCCAGTCTCTGCCTCCATCGTCACGTGGTGCTACTCTGTGCGAGGGTCTGTGTCCAAATTTCCCCTTTGGACAGGAACCCCAGGCATGTGGGCTAGAGCCCACCCTGCTGCAGTGTGACCTCATCTTAGGTAATTCCATCAGCAACAACCCCAGTTCCAAGTGAGGCCACATGCTGAGGTGGAGGGTCGGGATGCCAACATATGGATTTTGGAGGGACACAGCTCAACCCAGAACACAAATGCTCCTTGGCTCTGTCCCCTTTGGCTTTTCAAATGATCACCTTGTGAGGGGCCGTGATGTAGAGGAACCGTGCAGTGGTGACACGGCTCACAGTTCCCAGGTCCATCCTCAGAAGTGCACGGTTCTCTGTGCTTACGCTGCTGACCACACATCAGTGCAAACCCAGGGCTGTCCCAGCTTCCCTTGGGGCCTGTCAGATCTGCTGTGACTCAGTCCCTCTTACAGAAGAAACGTGGGGACTTGGGTAGAGTAGGTGACCTGCAGAGGGGTCCTGGCCGAGCAAGACACTGGGACTATGACAGGCTCTGATCTGGGATTAGATTAGCACAGAAACTTAATCCCCAGTTCTTC